CGAGTGGGGATGGTAGGCACCTCAAAGGCACCGTCGCCGGCATTTCCTAGCACCAGAAAGGCTGCCCAGCCTCAGGCAAGCACACAGGGTCAGGGCAGTGGGTGAGAGGGCACCCGGGTCGGGGGTGAACTGGCCAGCCAGGTGAGGGTGTGGCTGAGCCCCTGAGAGCAGGGGCAGCATCTGTGAGTTGGGGCCAGGAAAGGACAGGGGTGGGTGTGTGGACAGGCAGGCAACACTGCAAGCCCAGATCGGCAGGGATGGAGTGGGAATTTGCACCCCATGTAAGCAAAGGGGACCCCTGGCAAGAGGGGGATCTGGAGGAATATCTGCTGGAAGGCCTCCTCGGGTTCTTTCCCCTCTTCATCAAAATTCATTTGTTAAGCCTCAATTTGACACTGTGCCAGGTGCTATATAAACAGACATGGTCCCTGCCCTTAAGGAATTTCTAACCTAAGACACACACACAGTGACATTTTGTTTATTTTACTTTAAATATTAATGTATTCCTCTCCTTGTCCCAGGGAGGCTTTGAGATAGATCATAGGAAATGCACGCAATATATTAGTAAGGCACAAGTGAAAAAAGGAAGCATGGGACCAAAGAAAAGATATCATGGGTGGCTTAGTGGGTCCTGAGGGGTGCAAAGTTGACCTGGAAATCGGCTTCGCATCTCTCCTGTGGTTGAGTTAAAGGCCACTGTGGTCACATACTTGGCTCTCATTCATGAGAAAAAACTGTTCTTGTTCTCAGAAGAAGCAGCACTTTTGCTAACTTTGGTTCTAAAGGAAATTATTCACCTTGACCCTAAATGAGGAGACCAAGCACAGATGATCCTCTGCAAGACACGGTAGCCAACTCAGGCCCGGCTTCCTTGTGTTGTCCAATAGGGACAGCGAGGCAGTCACTTCCAGATTCTGACCAGTGACAGGACTGGAATCCAGACTATCTGGAGCAAAGGATTCTGGACACTTCCACCCTCTCTTCAGCATTTGGACTTGAAGTGGGTTTTGAACCACACATTGGGCACATGGCCACAGCTATGACCAGAGTCTCAAAGGAAATACTAGTAGCTAAAGTCAAGGTACAAAACTTGGTCCAAACCAGGGTCAGAGTAGGGAATGCAAATGGGGAGGGGAAGAGAGCTGGGAGACATGGGCGAGGCTCTCCTGCAGACCTTGGAGCCATCTCCTGTCCATGGACTTCCTACCAACCCTATGTCCCCATGCAGTTGTGGACAAAAAGATCAGACAACCACACAGAGGCAGAAACCCATGTGGATCAGGTCTGCTTATGTGTCCTGGTACCTTGTTGATCAAAGCAATGGGTGAATCATCACAGAATCACGTGTGGAACAGGGCAGTCAGGAAAGGAGAACACTGAAGTTTAGTCTGACAGATAACAGATAAGTATAGTGTATAGTGTGTAGTGCTTTACCCTTTCCGGAAAGATTTATTTAGGAGCAATGTCTTACACAGTTAAAAGCTGCAGGCCTGGGATACAGTACAGAGATCAGACTGAAAGCTTTGATCTGGAAATTTCCTTAGAAGCCACCCTGAAAGTCCTGTAGTCAGCCAGGCAAGACCTCTGAGGCCACACCTTGTGGGAAGACCAAGTATAGGGGATGGAGGAGCAGGAAGAAAAGCAGGGGAGACAGAAAAAGAACATGCAAGAAAGTAGAAGAACCAGGAGAACCAGGAGAGCTGGAAGCCCAGGAAGGAATTTTTGTGTGTGTGGTTTTTGTTATTTGTTATTGTTTGTGTTTTTGCAGTACTAGGAATTGAACCAAGGGCCTTCACACTGAGTGACATCCCCAGCCCTTTGAATTTTTAACTTTGAGACAGGCTCTTGCTAAGTCATTAAGTAGCCCAGGGTGGATCAGAACTTTCAGTCCTTTACCTCAGCCTTCCAGAATACATAAGGATAAAGTTCTAAGCTGTACATTCTTTAAACCCCAGATGCCAAGCCTGGGAAGGAGACCCTGGAGATGCAATGGGAACCAGCACCTTCTGGGAGCAGAGAGACAAGAAAGAAGCCAGGAGAGGAAAGGAAAGGAGGGAAGGAAGTGGAGGAGAGGAGAGTTTGGGGTGATTAGAGTGCCTGGCAGAGGAGACGCAAGAGCAGCTTTGTGGAAGTGTGGTATCTGGATTGTACTCAAGTTTCTCCCTAACATTCCCTCCTCCTAGCCTGTTCTCAGAGTACTCAGAATTTTTCTTTCTTTCTTTTTTTTTTTTTAAGAGTTAATGTAGAGACCATTTAGGATTTATTTACAAATATTTACTGGGTGATTATTAAGTACACAGTACTGTGCCAGGTTCCATGGAGGATTACAAAGAAAAGTTAATGTATAATAGGTTCTCCAAACTTATGAACTGCTGTGGAAAATAGACCATCACCATTGCAATTACACAAAAATGCATGCCTGCATGTGACATGTGCCAAGCATATGGACACAGTCACAACTCTGAGAGATGAGACTAGACTGGGCGGGGTGCAGTGAGGACAGAAGGCTTCATGAGGTATGGGGTCTTGAGATAAATCTGTACATTAACTTCCTATATTTGAGACAGAGATTTGGTATGAGCCAGGGCACATTACTCAGAATTTTCAACAGCTGAAGCCAGTCTGTCCTTTGGGTGCACTCCCACCATCTCCCAGTGTGGGCTTTGATTATCTTGAGCCCCTGGCCTTGACTGGGGGATCTTAGCAGACAGCTCAAGGAAGTTCTATTCCTGGATTGAACGTGAAAATTTATGGAAGCAGGTAGTCTCCACCCACCAGATTTGGACCAAGAGAAGATATCTTGGGAGCTACTGGGGCCATCTTTATACCATGAGAGTTTCTCTTGCTCCTAGGCTTGGGAACTGGAGCCCCAGAAAAACAAAAAAGAAATAGGGTGTTGGAGGACAACACAGCCCTAAATTATACAGTTATTGAGGTCCATCATGATCCTCATCTGCAAAAACCCAGTTGAGCTCGGATTCAGTATATTTATAAGTTCCAGGTAGAGGGGGATCTCAGAGCAGCAGTCTGGCTTCAAAACAGTTTGACAGGTTTGAGGATAAGACCCGAGCCACAGCCCAGAGAGGGAGGGGGTGCATGGAGTAGGAACAGAGAGGCTGGGTACTAATAGCTAACCTGCCAGGCTTCTGTCCTGTGCCAGGCATTGTTCTAAGATGTTTACGTGCATAAGTTCACTCAGTCCTCAGGAGGCTCCTGTGAGGTAAGTAGTGTTATTATCCCCATTTTAAAGAGAAGTAACCAAAGCACAAGGGGCAGGTTGGAAAACATGCAGCTGGGACTCAACCCCAGGCAAGTGGGCTCCAAGACATGGCCACTGAGACCACACTGGGCGTTGGTGGAGAACTGGGGAGATCAGGTAGCCAGTGAGACTCACGGTTCCTGAGGGATGAGGTGGGATGATACCTGGGAACACATTGGGTTTGATGATTAAAGGTCACAGAGGCCTGTGGGGTGGTGTTTCAGAGAGGGTTGGGGTGTGAATGGGGGCCAGGTAGGCATGGGAACCAGGGGCTGGTGGGAGATAGCTGGTGAGGACCCTGCATCCTGTGTATTCATCTCAGAAACTAGGGCAGCAGGAGCAGCCACAGGAAATCAACACAGCCGAGTGAAGCCTGGCATTTTTCCTTTTCCACCTGTTGGTGATGCTTGTAGGTGTTTGCAAGGCAAGCTAACAGGAAGGGAAGAGAGTAGGCCCAAAGGGCCCTATGTGAGCGTCAGTGTGCAGGCTCAAGGAGGGGCATCACAACTACAGACAGTGGCTGTTCCTCTAGAAGAGAAGGGAAGGGTAGGGGACAGGGAAAGGTGTGAGCCAGTTAGATGGCAAGAAATGTAGACATTCAGAAAATCTGGGGTCCAAAGTGGTGGGGAGGAGGTACTGGGGACAATGGTCATTCAAGAAGCCCTTAGACACTGAGCACACACACGGGGTAAGGCAGCAGGGCCAGGGAGGAGGAAGGCTCAGGTGCGAGCAGGTTGTCCTAAGACTCTAGGCCATCGTCTTTCATAGTTTCCCTTTGGATTCATGAAAAGACTCCGAAAGCATTTTAGATTCGCAGATAGACTGCACCAAGAGCACGGTGAATCTTTTGATCTAGCCTCTGCATTCTGATGGCCCTGAGTCTCTCAGCCCAGTCTCCCTGACCCACTGCCCAGCTCCTATCAACCCCTCACTACCCCCACCTATCTGCAGAAGATGCTGCATCCTCAAAGGAGAGGACCTCACTCAGGCTGGGGTGATCTTTCCATCTTCTGTGGTGCCTGGTACACAACAGGTAACAGCACCCTCAGGACAGTTGAACAGAGACTGGAGGAGGCCAGGAAGGGCCAGGAAGGGGCTGAGCTTCTCTAGCTGGGAGAGGACAAACCCGAACCAGATCTGAAACCCACTTTTTGGAGCCTGGGCTCTTCACCACGAACCTCCGTTTTCCTGTCCCCTTCTGCAAAGGGATGGCTCTTCCCTTTGCGCAGGTGAGGGAGACTAGGTCACACGTCTGTTCTATACCCAGGGTCATGACTGTGGGTTCACCCCACTCCTGCTTTCCGGGGATACATGAGCGGGGTCCACAGCCTGCTGAAGCTTCTTCCTCTCCAGTGAATGTCCTCCATGGGGCATGTCAGCGCCCCAGTCCTGTGAGCAGGAAAGCCTCTGGAGCTGGTGGGAGCCCTGGTCTGGGCCACGGCTGCGGGAGACTCCGGGGGCTACGGTGATTGTCTAGGGTGCACAGCCTTCGAACCTCTCAGTGAGCCCAGCTGTGTAGCAGCACACCTGTGCTGCCACGCTAGGGATATGCAAGCCCGCCCTCCAGCGGTCACATGTTGCAACCGCAAGCCAGCTGCCCTCTCTCACCTACCCACGTCCCCCTGGCCAGCACTGACCAGACGATGAAGTCAGGTAGCCAGGATCGCAAGGGTGGAGGGTTCCACACACTCAACTGAAATGAAGATGTCAATTGCAAAGGCGCCTGGAGGCGCCACACACATTTAGATAAACCTGTACCTTTTATTCTGGTGTTATAAAGAAGGTCATGCGATCAAGGAGGTCAAAGCACCCGCTCAATGCCATTTAGCTACTAAGCATTGGACCCGGGCCAAGGCAAGATGCTGAGTTTACACCTCAATAAAATGAGATTACTGGACTCTTGTGTGGCTGTTCACTGCTGGTACACCTCAGTTACCCAGGGAGCCTTAAATGCACACAGCCTTCAGCCCAACAGGCCTCTGGAGGCAGAGTCCCTGGTGGGAGACAGGAATTGTCTTCCCAGCGAGATGAATTGCATCCCTATCCTGATAGCCAGAGAACAGCAAGTGGGTGATCAACTTGCAGAGTCGGGGACCTGTTTAATTCACTGTCAGACTGCCTCGTCCTGGTGCGTGTGAGGTGTCCAAGAGTAGTTGTGAAATGGACAAGAGCAAGAGAAAATGATGCTGAGGGTCCACCCAGCTTCCACCACCTGACTCCACACCAACACCAGAGCACCCTACGCACACGCACAGATCTGCACGCCACATGGGGCAAAGGAGGACACGGCCTGCCACAGCCCACAGGTGCACCCAGCCACCAGAGCTCCCATTCCCACACCACACTCGTGCACACTTCCTTCTGTATCCACCTGTATACACCGCACACCCATTGGGTGCATGGCCTAGCCAGAAAGACCTTTGAGGCTCCCAAGGACCAACCCCTCTGTGACAAGCATTACCCGGAGGGAGGGTGGCCAAGCAGGAAGGCAGGAGAGGCAGCACGGCAGCTGCCGGGCAGTGGGTGAGCAGTGGAGGGCCTCACTTGGCGGGCAGCCTGTCGGTACACTTGGCTGAACAGAAACAATGGTGGTGGCTCCCTCCAGCCTAGCCTCCTCCCCCAGGCAGAGCCCCAAATCCCAGGTCTCTTTGGAGCCTCCCCTGGAGAACAGGCCCAGCTGGGAGGTAGCTAAAAGACAGCATGAGGGGACTTCCCAGGGGAGGACCACAAAGCCTCCTCGGGGAACTGGCTAGAGGGAGGAAGCTATATCCTGGGGCCCTCGGTAACGCAGCTTTAAGGGCTGTGCAGGAAGAGCTGTGTGGCTGGGCCTCCATGCCTGACTGAGGCCCTGATTCCATGCCTCCATCTTATCTCATGTACTTCTCCTGAGCTGCAGCTCAGGCTGAGCTGGACAGATCCCCACAGGAAGTTGTCCCCACCTTTTACCCTCCACCCTTGCCAGCTAGCTGCATCTGGAGAACCACCTTCTCTACTCTGGGGAAACAAAGGGGCCCTGTTCCCAGCGCTCCAGGGTTCTCTGCTGAGCTCCAGCAGCCCTTGTTGCATTCTGCTGATCAGCAACTGAGCACCAGGTTCTCCTGCAGAGCAGGGAGAGCTCCAGGGGAAGGCGTTATTGGAACAAAGGCATGGAGCTGGAGGTTCCCAGAGAAGCCTACTGAGGTCCATGCCAGAAGGCTGCCCCCTAGTGGCCAGAGCCTGTTCCCTGGGTCACTTATGGGTTCTCTCAAGAATCTCTGCTCTGTTCTTTCTGTTTTCTGGAACTCCCTGGCAGGTCTTCTAACTTCCTCAAGGCTGGCACCCTCCTGGATGGCTGTCCTGAGTCCTCCTCCAGGTTCAAGTGAGCACTGGAAATGAAGACACCTTGGTTCTGAGAGATGGGGGTGACACAAGATGAATGCTGGGAGCAGAGCCCAGTCCCCATTCCATCTCATCCTTCCCTCGGGAGCAGTCAGGGACAGGCACAGCAGAGTGGCCGCCATGGAAGTGGTGGGCAGGCACGGCAGCTCCAGTGAGCCAGGGAATGAATGGGGCCACAGGGAAACAAGCGCTGCCCCTCAGCAGAGGGGGAGGCAACCTCAGCCTCCTTGTGGACCCAGGGAAATGAGGCACCTCCACGGGGCAGCGTGTCAGTCTACCCCCAAGAGAGGCCAGTGTCTATGAGCTGGCACTGGCTTCACGGCTGAATTCGGTTCCGCTTGGGGATGATCTTCCTGTAGGTCCTGCGCTCAGAGATGTTGCGCTTCACCTTGGCGGTGGTGGGGGCCTCATCCTGGTGCAGGGAGGGGCTCGAGTGGCACTTCTTCAGGCTGGGTTTGGGGTCCCGGGTGTCTTCAGCCTCTCTGCCCAGCTGCTTTTCCCAGAGGTCCAGGTCCCCAGAGGGGCAGTGCAGACGAGCCACCAGCAGCTGCACATATGTCTCATAGCGGGTTTTCTGCAACATACGGGTCAGAAGGAGACTGGAATCACAAGGGACAGCTGCAGGTATGTGCAGCTATGGAGACAGAGAACTCTACTGGCAGAAGGCTATGCCAACAGCCTCTGCACGGTGCTAGGGCAATCAGGTTCTGCAGGGTGAATCTCTGGATCACATTATAATTATACAAACCAGCCCAGGCCTGTTCTAATAACCAATGTACTGCAATGCTGTAACGAATGCCTCTACACCATGTGACATCTCCAAAGCACCACACAATATGTAAGCCCTTCTGCTCCTGGGATCTGTGCAGCATCACAGTCGAGCAGCTCACACCTGGACAGAGCCCTCACGGAGTCTGATTAGTAAGGATGACACCTGGTACTCTCATGTTTAATTCTCTGTAACGAGCATCCTTGGGAGACCTTCAGAGTTTTTCTCATCCTCCACTGGATCCTCACCCAGGCCATGGCTGGGCAAAAACCATCATTTCTGATTTACAAAGAAGGAAACAGGACCAGGAAGGACCAATGCCCAAGGGCCCCAACTGGGTGGTGGTGGGGAGCAATTGGGTCCTTTCAGCTACACCATTGAGGCCTCTGGAGATGGGGTCACTCACAGCCATGGGGTCACCAATGGGGGGGGCCATGTGAGTTCCTAGTGACACCCCTCCCTCTGCTGCCCTGCCCTCTATTGTCACAGTGCACCTTATCTGGACTACCCTTCCTACCCACTGGGCCCCCCACCCCCCAAGTGGGACAGCCCAGATTCCTTGTGCACTTGGCACAAGGGTGAAGAATTGGGATGGGAGGGGATCCTGGGAGTTAGAGTAGGCAAAAGTGCATTTTGGAATCAATTACAGAGCTAATAAAAGTCATGCCTACCTTAGTTAAGACCACATGTTAGGCATACAATCTGATTGGAGTAGACTGCAAATCTAACAGGTTAGGTAAAGTTGTTTGATCTCTCTGTGCCTCAGTTTTCTCATTTTTGGTTGTTCTCTTTTGTTTGGCTTTTTTTTCTTCGAGAGACGGGGTCTTTTTGCTATGTAATTTACACCAGCCTTGAACTTGCTTATATAGCCCAGGAGGGCCTCCAACTCACAGTGATCCTCCTGCCTCAGCCACCCAAGTGCTGGGATTACAGATGTGTGCTACCACACCTGACTAGTTTCTTCATATATAAAAATGAAGACCATAGTACTTACTCCAGAGCTGTTAGACAGTCAAATTACTGACTAGGTATGGGGAATAATTCAGCTATAATACAGTTTTTCCTTAAACTTGGGAAAAGCACGCATGAGTGTGTCCCGTGTGCACCTGTGCGGAGAATCATGTCTCCCTGGCATGGCGCAATGGGAAGCCACGGCTGCAGGGGGAGAAGCAGCCACGAGAGGGCAGCCGCGGGCCCTCACCTCGTACTCCAGATACTCCTTTCGCAAGCGGTACTCCTCCAGCTCCCGGCTGCGCCCGCGCCGCTCCGGTAAATTCCGTTGCAGATCCAGCAGGTCGTCTGAGGCTGCATCCAGGCAGTTCTCGTGGGATCGATGCTGCTCCTCCTGGAGGCAGCGAGGAAACTGTCCCTCATCCCCCGCCTGGAGCACTGTTCCTCCCCTCTCTGGGCCCAAGTGTGCAGCCCTCCCTGGCCTGAATTCACACAGCCCCTGGAAACCCCGCCCTCATCCTGGGACTTACCAGGGAGTTCTGGGCTGGGCCAACCGGGAGGATGGGGCGCACGAATCTGCGCTGGGACCCCACAGCTGCTGGGAAGGGCGGCGCTGAGTGCGTGGCCGCAGCCAGATTGATACGAGCGATCCAGGAAGTCATCTCCTTGGCGGTGCTGTGAGCACAGGAGGTTGGCAGTCCTCAGGGACAAAGCACCCAACACCAGCACCAACACAGACATACACAACACGCGCAATGCACACCTGCCAAATTCTACACAATCACCCAGCTGCTTCGCATTCCACCCCCAAAACCAGCACCTGTCACCCCCGTGGACCTCTCAAAGAGTTTAGGAAGGCAATGGATTTTGCATCAGATGCCCAACAGGATAGTGTTGCTGACTTCCTGGAATTCTCTGTTCCATACTAAGAGGCCTGACCCTGACTTACCAGGAAAGGTTGCCGAAAGAAAGGAGGAGCCGGCCAGGCTGCACCCTGCAACCTTTCTGTGCCCCCAACAACTCTTGGGGCTCCCCGTGTGAGGGCAAAGGTGGTCAAGGCTAACGACTTACGGTGCTTGGAAGAGGTAGAGGCGCCAGTCTGCAGTCCGCAGCTGGAAGACATGCGGCTTCTTCGTGTAGTGGGTGGCCGGTGTGGCCAGCGCGTGGTGCACCCCAACAGGCTCATCTGCCATCTGCCCGAACAAACTCTCCTGCTCCAAGGAGTGGTCCTCTCCCTATCACCAGCACAGGGGCGCTCAGAGAAGACTCTGTCATCAGCTGCTGGTCTCCTTCCCCACAACCCTGGGTCTCTGCCTCCCTGAGGTGGACTTCCATCCTACCTTCAGGAAGTATAGAACCATCCCTCGCAGTAAGGTGTGGAACATCTTCCAGCCACGCTTGCCCCATGGTGCTGTTCCAGGAGTAGACACAGTGGTGGGTGATGATCCAGCAGACACACGGTTCCCCCATCCTCACACCCCCTCCAACACCTCCCTATGATACATGTAAACGCATGGGGCCTATCGACACAAATATACACACAATCACAAACAAGCAGGAAGTCTCCATGTACAAGCAATCCTGCCTGGGAGGACCCAGACAAACATCTGCACATAAATCTGAATATTCACACCCACAATCTCTCCAAACATACACCCACCATCCCAGGTACAGATACCTTACCCATCACTCCACTCAGGCATCTCCCCTGAAAGATGCTCTCAAAGGCTTGTGCCCACCTAGCAGGGTATAAGGCTCAGGGCCCAGCCTTGGGGTGTTCTTCCTGTGCGCCCACTCTTGGGAACAACCTTCCCTTTCCCCTCCCTTCCAACTCTCCCAACCTGGTCCAGTGCTCTAAGACATGTCTGAGTAGAAGACACCCTCTGCCCAAGTACAAATACCTAGACCCTCTTATCCCACTCCGAGGTTTCTCTGAGATATCATCATTCATCTGAAGCCTTCTCTATCTGTGTCCCTACATCCGGTCGTTAGAACAAAATCAAGAGCCTTTCTCTCCTCTTGATCTGCTACCGGACCCAGCATTCCCTCCAGACCCTGCTCCTCCTCCCAGACAGGGCAGTGCTTGTCTAGTCTCTGCCTCACCACAGTGGCGCTGGGAACAGGAGTAACTGAACTGCTTTGTCCCAGCGCCTTTCTCCCACACCCCGACCCCGTTCCTGGCACTCTATCCCTATTCGGGATACTCTGAGGAAGGATCACGGGCTGCCTACCCTTGACACGGGCCATCTCTCTGCACGCCACGCACCCATGGGTGAGGTCCCTGAGCAGAGCTGAGCCCCACACCCCACCAGCGCGCAGGCAGGGAACACTCACTCTTCTTGCCATCTGCATCATGATGCATCTTCCGTGCCAGGATACCCTGCTTGTATGTGGGCACCCTGGGGTCCTGAGCCAGCTGGAGGAAAGGGTTACTCATCTTGCCAGCTGGGGGAGGTGGCCGGGCCTTCTCAGGTCTAGCTGCCTCTTCTTTATCCCTAGATATAAGAGTAATGAGCTGGAAAGCTGACTGGGCAAAGAAACAGCCACTGCCTCCCCTAATAGGATCCCCAAAAGGAGTCCTTGTTCAAAGTTCATGTATCAGTTCCTGGAAATTGCTACCACCCTGTACCTCCAACTACCTCTGGCATCTCTAATGTCACCCAAGCTCCTCTTTCCTCCCTGAGATGGGCCTAACACCTTGCCTCTGGCTCCACCTCACTCAAAGGGAGCAAAGTCCAGGGCCCTGAATGTCTCCAACTCTCAGGTGGGTGACAGGAGGACAGGCCCAGCATTACGGGGGAGGAGATGAGGGCTCTCACTTACACAGCCCACTCAAGCTTCTCACTTCGGATAGACCAGTAGAGAGCCTGCAACAGAAGAACAGAGGTAGGCAGAGGGACCTTGGAGCTGTGGTTCCTAAATCACTGGCTGGCAGATAGCTAGGGACTATGTGTATGGCCTGTCCCCTCCACCCTTGACATAATTCCCCTTATTCCTTGAGCAGGCAAGCTTCCATTCATCCACCTGTCTGTCTGTCCATTCAGCCATTCATCTGTACATCTGTCATCATCCATCCATCCACCTACCATCTATCCATTTATCCACCTATCCACCTATCCATATACCCAATAAATGTTTATCAGAGAAATGAGCAAAATATCAATCTAACCACTTACGAACTGTACATTATGTGCAGACAGCGTGCTAAGTAAGCACTTTGCAAATTTTACTTGACTGTAAGGTGATTGTGCCCCAGGAGGAACTTGAGTTGGTGTAGGTTGGGGAGAGACTAGGTTGCCCAAGACTAGAATTCAAACCAGGAACAACCAATTCCCAAGTTTGAGCTCTAGAGTTTTATGACATAAAACTTGGCTTGTCACCTACTCAGACAACCAATAAACTAGCACTTTTGACTTTGAAGGGGGGAACAAAATCACCTTGAAACTTAACAAAATTTTGAGGAGCCCTAGATCCAGAGGGTGTGGTTCAGTAGCTCCAGTGCTGTGAATCGGTATACCTGACAAATTTCACAATGTTGTGGATGCTGCCGTCCAGGGGCCCACTGTTAGTAACCCTTAGATAGGCAAACTGAATATCCTCAAAGGGTATTCAGCAGAGCCAGGCCTGAGCGCCTCATCTCCCCTGGGTCAGAGCCCAGCCAGGAGGCACCCCCGCCTCACCTTCAGCAGCTCTTTGGGGAAGTTCCCGCCATCCTGAAGGCCATTCAGGTTGGTTATGAATTCCTGGCAGCTCATGCTCTTGCCGATGTTCTGTGGCCAGGGACAGAAGTGGGACAGCTAGAGCACCCCACCTGAAACAGCGCACTCCCAAGCGACCACTCTAGACTTTCTCCAGTCCCCCAGGGCTCTGTTTTGACCACCCCCTACCCCAGGCTGCTGCAGTCCCTCCATCTCTCAGTCCTTGTCTAGGGTCCCCAGCTTCTTACCTGCCCGTGCAGGTCTGTGTTAAGGAGCATGATGGCACAGGTCAGGGTGTGAATAGAATCTACCCAGGGAGGCCAGCAGAGAAATGTGCATTAGAACCCGGACTTCTCCACCCTCTGTCCACGCTAGGCCAAGGGGTCACTTTTTTCTCTGCAGCCATCAACACAGTCTGAGCTGTGTCACCCAGTGAACTCCCAAGTGGACACAGGGCCATTGCCATGCCACCCCCCCACACACACACACCCGGGGCCAGACCTCCCTACCAACTGAGGGGAAGGCCTTGGGGTTGCAGTGGTGGAAGCGTTTGGAAAACTGGTAGAGGATTCGCTCCCGCTCCTGTGTCTCCCCGCTGAGCACCAGGGACTGGAGGAAGCCCCTGTAGGGGAAAGCCAGAGTCAAGGAGAGGCAGGCTAGGACACTCTGCAGCCCTGAGGCCAGGGCCCAATCAGATCCCTGAAAGCCCTGCACATCCCTCCTCCCTAACCTCACCAGAGAGCCCAAAGGCGATATGTACTATATGTGATATGTTACCGGAGGGCACAGTCCAGACTCTGGCCTTCAAACTGGAAGAAGGACAAGTACTCCTCAGCCACAGCCCTGCTGAAGTCATTGCTGTGCAGGAAAATGGGGATGAAGATAGCAACAGAGATCAGGGTGGGCCACAGACAGAGGGCCCTCCAGAGCTTGTACCCATCACAGGGCCTGATGGTGGGGGTGGCAAACAAGGGAAAGGCATGGCCAGGCTGCACCCCAGGTAGTATGAGCACAAGAGGGTAGTCAGGGCCTGGCCAACCCCAGCACCAGGTGCAGGGCTGCATAGGAAGGACTTAGGGAGTTTGGGGTTGGCCAGGGGGCTGAGTCCAGAGGCTCCAAGCAAGGATCCGGGTGTAGGGAAGAGGTGACTCACACAAGTGTGCCCCAGGAGAAGCAGCTGGGACAGACAGGGAGTGGGGAAAGGCTGAGGGCCAGGGAGGGGCATGCTGGAGAGAGACAGATGCAGTGCTGGGGCTGGAGAGGAACAAAGGAAACCACAGGACAGGAAGGGGAGGAGCAGACAGTGGTGATCTCAGGACCAAAGTCTCTTACTTCTTCTGCAGGTAGGCAGCCACTTCTGACTTCTGGAAGCCTTCCAGGCGATAGAGCCGGGAAGCCAAGTTCCAGGCTATTTTGTCATTCTTGACACTATTTGCCAGCTTGTCTCCATCTGGTGGCCGCTGGTCTTTCTTGTGAGACTTTGCCTGTGGCATGGGACTCTTGGGAGGCCTGGAAAAATCCATTGGCATCTTCACACACAAGCTTACAGTTAGCATGCTAAGATTTTGAGTCAAATTGTGGAGGGGCATATCCAGAACTTAGAGCTGGGAGTGGAGTGGCCTTGGTCCTGGATGCCCCGCCTGGAGGAGGAATTATACTCACCCAGATGCATCCTCAGGTGAACTCCAGGGGTCTCTCAAGCCATCCCACCTCAAGGGGCAGGTATAGTCCTTGAGGACTCAGTGGGGTTGTATCCAATCCACAGTGGGACAGGACTGTTTCCCTCACCTGAAGCTACTGTCACAAGGCCTCTTTCCCAGCCCCAATCCCGGCCTCAGCCTCTACCCCTAGCTCTGGAGCGAAGAAAGGTGTAAGGACCAGGTCAAGAACAGGGAGCCAGACTGGCTTTAGGAATGATGACAACTTTTTGGAGACAAGGATAAAGTTTCCAATCTCCCCCTGCCCCTGCCAGTTGTATGGTGATTGGCTAGTGACCTCTGATGGTATAACAGGCCCAGGAAACCCCACCAGGATGGGAGCACGCTCAGAAGCTAACACTCAGACTCCCAAAGTTAGGCTGTCTTTTTCCACCTGACTCTGCAGGTTCCCTACTGCTGTTAAAACCAGGTGTGGGGCATTCTAGTCATTTACATATCTGTGATTCAAGCCAGCACGCAGATGAGGGTGGAACATACAGGTAGGCATATATGAAAACAATCATTAACGAACTGACCCCTTAAATAGACTTCACTTAATGGCCTCTACCCTTAACCCGAGTGGGTCAGTGCTTTGCTGAGAATTTGTCTACTTTCTGAGGCTCCTAAACACTCCCCAGAGTATAGGATATATGTGAAGAAACTAAAAAGAGGAATTCATTTGAATAATCTACTGACAAAGGCCTAAATATGTTTTATTAAAAAAAAGTCAAAAGTACTATCAGTAATGTCTAGATGGAGAAGAACTTTAGGGGAGAAAAACTACTATACAAATACAAATGCATGCCTGTAATCCCAGCACTCGGGAGGCTGAGGCAGAAGGATTGCTTCAGCCTGGGCTACCAAGTGAGTTTAAGGCCAGCCTGCACTGCATGGGGAGACCCTGTCTCAAAGATGAAAGAAAACAAAACAAATATAAATTGCCATGGAACTGCACACTTTAAATGGGTTCACTGTAGAGTATGTGAATTACATCTTGATAAATCTGTATATTTTTAAAATGGTCTTTATGATCTCTCTGTGAAAGTCAAGCACAAGAGAAAGAAGCTAGCAAACTTGTACCAGGAAAATTAAACTTGCTACACTGTGCTAAATACAAGGTTAAGTATTTACTATTTAGTGACATTTATCAACGTAAAGTCTCAACTAAATCTTTTTGCATTATTTACCATGAAAGTATAGTTGTCACTTTAGGTGAGCAGACTGGCTTGTTTGGGATAGTAATTCCTTCCTTTTCAGATACTGAGACTGCTGTGGTACCCAGTCTCTGCACAGCTTTGAATAGTATCCTTTACACACACACACACACACACACACACACACACACACACACACGGTTCTTTGGTTTCTGGCACTAATACTCTGTGACAGTCAACGAAGGACACTGAGATGGGAACAGGGTTATTCTCTAACTTCTGCACCGTTAATGACCCAAACCATTGCTAGCTTTTTGTTTCTTCAATATGACCCCTACTCAGCCAATCACAGACCAACCCCCCCCCCCAACAGTCTTGTCGGGGGTGAGCAGGTTGAGTCCACATCCTGGGGCAGGCAGACATCTAAGCTGGTTTCCCAGTTTGCCTATCCCTACCCTGGCCACAGTTCTAAGGCTACACAATCCTACTATGAGCATCAAGATTCATTCTCTTAGTCCTAATCAAACCTCTCCTTGGTGAGATCCTGGCCTGCGTTCTTTGGTGAATTTCTCCCAGAAATTCAGAGCAGTCTGTAATTCCCACAGCACAAGCTCTGACCTTCTATCCCAAAGCCTGCCCATCACAGCCCTGGTCAGGTTCCCTGAACCCCTCCTCTTCTCTCTCTCCTGGGGTCTGGCTCTGGACACTTCTCCTGGCCTACATATTCCACATAATAAGGTAATGAAGACTGCGATTAAGCATAATATGCTGGATCACAATGTGCATCTCCTAGCCTCCATCCAGGCTAGGGTCTGGATACGTGACCGTCATGAGGGGCCAGAAGCTGCTTCAGCTGAGACTCACCCTTCTGCAGAAATCCAGTGAACGTCGGCCTGGATGCCTGGAGCCACTGCAGTCCTGGCTATGCCTTCACTCTCTACTTCCTGTCCTGGGTCTGAGGCCTCCCCACCCTTGTCTTTCTTCAGGGATGTTGGCACTACCCCGTCGGTTTCCAGGAGTGAAGGGTGTGAAGTATCCAGTGGCCACTTGGGGAAAATGTCAGGGCTATCGTGCTGGAGCTGCTGGCTGCCCTCCTGGGAGGACGCAGGGGTGGGCCTGGGGCCAGGGCCTCTGCCCTCAGACGCAGGGCTGCCAGGGTCAGGCGAGGATGCTGGGCTCCCACAGGGGCTAGGAGCCAAGGTGCAGGGAGCAGGTTCCTGTGGACACCCAGTATCTCTCTCACCTGAGGAAAAGCACACAGTGAGCAAGCACAGGGCAGCTGGCTGCTGCCCCTGCCTCCCCAGGGAACTCCCGTGGCACTGGACAGCACACCCTGTCCTCCCTCACACAGTGACTTCTCCTTTGGCCCCCAGGCAAGGCAGGGCTCAGCAATTAAGAAGCACATGAGAAGCACAGTCTTTCATACATTCCTGCACTCTCTCTAGAAGTATCTGAAAACACATTTTATTGATGAAGGCACAGAAGCAAAGGCTAGATTTAACCCCAGGCCTGTCTGCTCCAATGCACTAAAATAAATCCAAGAACCACCTTTGTCTCCACTCTGAATGCCCAAGCCTCCCACCATCCAATTCCCCAGACTCCCACCATGGGTCTTACCTCCGTCCCATGGCCCGGAAGGACCCTCTTCTGTCTGCCAGCCCTCAGTGCTTGGGAGGGCCTGGTGTGTGAGAGAGAGGGTGAGTAGGGAAGGGGAGGATGGGGGGATAAAAGGAATGCCCAGGTATACAGGACTCCACCCTCCTTGCCAACCTCCCACCCACAGCATGGGCACCTATCTGATCCTCAGTTCAGAAATAGAACCCTGGATGGGACAAGACTAACACCCTCGGAGTGTTGACTCTGGGCCTCAGAAATCAATGGTGACAGTGAGGCCCAGAGATGGGAAGTGACTTGCCCATGGCTGCCCAGGATGTGTGGCAGGGCTATGGTCCAATCCAAGATGTGCTGTCTCCCAGGTCGATGTTTCGTATACACAGGGACCTGCAGGTGAGGTGGGGCCACGCTCATCTTCCAGATAGGCCTGAGAAAGAGAAAGGCAGGGTGGACAGGTGAAGTCTGACCAGAGGAAAACCGACACTGAGGCCTTTGCTCACCTTTGGAGACCATCCTCCTCATCAGCCATCCAGGTGGTCAGGGTGGTCAGGCAGCATCCCCCCTTCCCTCCTGGAGGCTCTGGGAGAGAGCCATGGCTCTAGGCACTGGGCACAGCAGGCTCTGCACCCAGAACAGGAGAGAATTCTCAGCTTCAACACTGGGGCTGCTGGGCTTCCCTCAAGGACCCAGCGTCTTAGCACAAGGTCCGCAGAGAGCTCTGCAGGACAGAGCTGTGACTGCTGGCCTAGGGTGTTTGCCTGTGGATGGAGGGCACCCCTCCCTCCCCACTTGCTGCAGCACTGGAGAATGTCTCTGATCTCCACTGCTCTAGAGGAATGCAAAGATTAGAAAGTTCAGTCTCACACTGCCATCTTGAGGGCTCTTATCTCTAAAGCCACCCTGGGAAAACTGGGCTCCCAACTGTCTCATTGAACTCATCTCATGCCTGGCTGATACTTAGGCTCTTCTGCCATTGTCACAGGGCCTGCTGACACTGGGCAGGGGGAGAATAAAGGACGGTGAGCTAAAAGTAACAAAATGCTAACATCTCTCAAGAAAACAGAGGACAGCATTTCTAACAGATAGCTCTCTGTTAGGAACAGAGGTCAGCTAGGCCACCCCTGCCTGTTCTATCCCCAGCGTCTTGGAGGTGGGTGGGGAACATCTTGCAACTGGAGGAACTACTTGTTCTCCAAATGTATCCAGACATAACCCCAAGAACTGGTGAGCTGTTGCTATCTGCAGACTTGTAAGCACGTTCAGTACACAACAGGGCATCAAAAATATTTTCTGTAATTCTGAAGGTCACACTGGTGATTTTCTCCTATATGACCTCAAGGCCCCCATATCTCAGATTGCTCTGTGCCTGGTGGCCCATGAGGAAAGCCATCCTTCAGGGTCCCGAGCGTGGTCCCGGTGGTTTTCCAGGACTGAACTCACCTCGCCTTCCTCCTGAGCAGGAGGTGGTGTGGGAGTCCCTTCAGCAGTGGCCAGCGATGCCCAGCAGAAGGGGTGTGATTTGTAGGGAGGAATGGGGAACAGAGGAGTGGGGCACCCACTGGAACCGGCGGTGCTGCCCTCCAAATCCAGTTCACTTTCTAGCTCCCAGGGCCCATTGTTGCCTGGGAGTGACCAGTCAGGCCCAGGTCTCTCATCTGCCTGGGAGTCTGGGAAGCCCCAGGAAAAGTACTCCCTGGACACACTGGTGTCAGAGCAAGGGCTTTCTAGGAAGAGAGGGTTATCGAAGAACACACTCTCCTCCTCAGGACCCCACTCTGAGGAGAAGCCTGGAGATCCTTCCTTGGGCCAGGCTTGGTTTTCCCCCTCAGGCCCACTGCTGTCTTCCCCAGAGTCCTCTTCCACAGGTGGGCTAGGGAGCAGGCCTGGGTCCCCAGGAAGTTCTGACGTGGACGTGGGGAGGCAGCACCTCAGCTTGGTCTTGAGTCCTTCTGTCTTTTCCAGCTCTTCTTCTAGGTCCAGGACACACATCTGGGCCTGCAGAATGCCAGCCCAGAACACCACCTGCGTGGATGAGTTTTGGTTCTGTGATGGGCTCCCTGGGGCACAGCTGCCCCCCTGGGCCTCCAGTGATGCTGCTGGTGACCTGAGGTCCCCTTGTGAAGAGCAGCACCCCAAGTGAGCAGGCTGCACATCAGAGCCCCTAGGAGGAGCATCAGGCCTGGTGGGTTCAGGAGGCTCAAATGTCCATTTGTGTTCCCGGCCTGGGCTATGGCCCCTCTCCCTTAGGCATGCTCCTGGGCGGGGATGCAGGCTGTCTCCCAAGCAGATGTTGTGAAATTCCACAGGCTGAGGGTGGTTGGAGAGTCCGTGGTCGCCCATCATCCACAGTGAAAACTCTGTGGGAGCCAGCAGCAATGTCTATTTCACAATCCCATTTTGTGGAGTAGGGGGAGCACAGCCAGGCAGTCAACTGGGAATCCACATCCACCCTGGAAATGCCCCAAACAGAAGCCAGTTAGAGAAGGGCAAAGCCTCAGACCTGTGTCAAGGGCTTGACTGCTGCAAAGGGGCACCATCTGTCCCCCGGCCCCATCAGGGGTAGGAGTGTACCATCCAAGCCATCTGACCCCGCAGTCTCAGCTAGAAGCGGAGCAACACCTTCCCCAAAACACCCATCTGGAGGCCGGCACAATTCCCTGCAGCTTAGCTGAAAATGAACTGGTCAGACACGACTCTTCTCTTAGGAATTTAGATAAGAGAATGCAGAGACTGAGGGCTGGCAACAGAAGCAGAAAGGCGGAAACACCTTGAGGTGTTGTGAAGGAGTGGTAAGACAAAATGACACATAAACCAGCATACATGGGAACTGAACAGAGGTAGGCTAGAGCGGGCAGAGGAGCAGGCTTGTGGGAACATCAGGGACCCAGAGCAAAAGGCTACATAGTCTGCCTGGTTTCCACTCTGCAGGGCCCTAGCTCTGCAGCCTACATCTCTCACAAGGTGGAGTCTTGGATCTCTCCTTGCAAGCAGTACACAGCTGTAAGCCCTGGCCTAGGAAGAAGCAGGAAGAGGTTCTCTGCTAGGCTCCCTCAGCTTGGCCTCTCTGAAGAGGAAGCACCAGCCCTTCTAAATCACTGAGGGGCAGACCACCTGCTGCCTAGGGAGGAGATTCCTGCTCTCTGGGGAAGAACAGGGAAGCAGTGGCCTAGGCTGCCCAGGCTGCCCATCTACTAGAGCTGCCCTGTGCATTATAACTAGGGCAGGCTGTGTTAGACACAGCCAAGAAACCTTGCAAGGCACACCCTGTGAAGCAAGGGTCTCTAAAGTCTACATGGGGGTAGCCTGCACTACTCTTAAAGTGGCCCTGCTTCCTCAGAACAAATGGCAGCTTTTGACCCAATAGACAATGAGAAATTTGTAACTTGTACCCAGTTTCCCTCTCAGTGCTGGGTTAAGTACAAAGGCTGGTGACATGTGTTTCCAGTGCTAACCACACCTCTGGTCTTTCCTTTGTTTGCCTCTGTCTCACTTTCTTCACTAATGAATTTCTGTCTTGAAAGGCTGCACACGTGACTGTAAGCTGCACTGAAATACTGTGGGAAAAGGGTAATAAGAAACACACACCTACCTGTACCCAACTTAGTTACATGCAGCTTTCACACACCCAACATAACAGCCCCTTCCGCCTGTCCAGTTAACACAGCCCTTCCTACTCCCTACTCATCCCACCAGACACCTGGAAGAAAGGAGCACCACCTGTTGCATCCACTCATAGATGAGAAAGACAAAACCTGAGACTGGAAAGAGAGGCCTGGATCTCAACCCAGGCCACCCATCTGCAGCCGCCTCTCTGTCTAACACAGAGGGGCTGCAAGCTGTCTCCCAAACAGATGTGAAATTCCACAGGCTGGGGGTGGCCCATCATCCACCTAGAAATGTGTATCTGCCTTGGTGGCTACTCCCCTCGTTCTCTCTGCTTCCTGGCTGCTATGATGAGAGCAGCTTTCACTAGAGGCAGATGGTTCCCCGGGCTGCCTCTGCCTTAGAGTCAGATGATTATGGACTGAAACCTCTAAAACATGTGAGCCACAAAAAACCTCCACTTTAATTTGTTGGTATTGGGTACTGAGTTCCACCTATGAGACAGCAACTAAGACAACAGTCAGAGGAGTAACACTTGCTATCTTCTTCCCCCACAAAGCTGCCAATTTACTATCCTCACTACTCTCTCGCGACCTGCTGCAGTTTGGACCTGGAATATTCTCCAAGGACTCAGGCTAAAGGCTTGGTCCATAGTTTAACAACATTGGGAGTTGATGGAAACTGTAAAAGATGAGCCAGGTCTGGAGGTGTAGCTCAATGGTAGAATGCTTGCCTAGCATGTGTGAGGCCCTGGGTTTATTCTCCAATAACACACACACACACACACACACACACACACACACACACACACACACAGAGCAGAGCCTAGTAGGAGGTCTTTACATCACTGGAGGCCTGCCTCCAAGGAGATTGCGAGACTTTAGTCTTTTTCTCTTTTTTGTTTCCTGGCCATGAGAGAGCATGGTTACTCTGCCATGTGCTCAGACCATGATGTGCTACTTTGCCACAGGCCAAAAACAATGCGGTCAATCAATCATGGACAGGAACCTCTAAAACTATGAGCCAAAATAAACCTTCTTTTTATAAGTTGATTATCTCAAGTACACATTACAGTGATGGAAAGCTGTCTAGCACAGGGCACAATATCTACACTCGGGCAACTTCCCTGAGCCATGAACCTCCCTCCTCAAGCCTGCCCAGTGAATGACCACATGAGAGCAGGGAGATGAAACATTCCACCATGGTTGGCTCCTCAGGTAACTGATCCACAGGGCACAAGAAATGCCCAGGAGCGATGTTCCAACCTAGCAGTACCTTCTGAATATGGGGAGGAAGGGAGAGAGAGGGAAAGAGAGGGAGAGAGAGAATGAATGAATCAGAATGAATGAATATGAACTTAGCCCAGAACATGTTAATGGTCATGCTGGACATTATTAAGTGTTAGATTTGTCTTCCAAGAAGAAACACCGAAACCCAGTATTTTTTTTTTTCCATAGGAGAAAAGAAAATCAGAGAAACTGCAGCCACTTTCCAGAGATAAAACCAGACCTCTGGGGCCTGCGGCATCTGAAGGGCCTGGAGAGGGAAAGGGCTGGGAATGGAGAGGAGCCCTAGGCAAGGGATCTGAGTTACAGAAAGATCACAGACTGTGGGGCCAAGTATGTAGTTTGCCTGGGTCAGCACTCTTTAAGTCTACTAAATGCAACCTGACTACATTCCATTGCTTACTGTTTGATTTCAGAGCATTTATCCTAGTGTAATTCCTAGTGTTTACTCACATGGTGATAGTTTGCCAACAGGTTCTCTGTGCTTCCTGCTCACTGCTGTGGTTGTCCTCATCTTAACCACTTTTCTTATAGCTGGGACAAAATACTCAACACCCACAACTTGGAGGAGGGGTTTTATTTTAGCTCAAATTTATACTCCATGGTTAGCTGGCTCCAAAGTAAAATGGCATGGCAGAGAGGCATAGCAGAGAAAAAGGTGCTCACCTCATGATGGCTAGGAAGCAGAGAATGAATACTTTCACTTTCCTAAAAGCCCTGACTGTGTGCATGAGCCTCATAGGGGACATCTGGATACAAATCATAATAGTGTACATCTGGCCTCCAAAAAGCTGATGATGATCTCTTTATAAAAAATACATTTGGTTCACCTCTAACAGTTCTCAAAGTCTTAACAGGTACAGTATTTCTAACAAGTCCAAGTCCAAAGTCTCCTCTGAGACTCAAAGTAAATTCTTGCCTGTGAACCCCTGTAAAAATTAAAAAAAAAAATCAAAAACTTCCAGTGCTACAGGACAAACATTCCCACTCCAAAAGAAAGAAAACAGGAGTATAGAAACAAATGGGACCAAAGAAAGATCAAAATCCAGCACAACAAAATTTAACTCCTATAGCTCTGTGTCTAGCACCAAAGATGTGAGCTCCAAAAAACAGCCTGAGTGGGCCCACTTCTATAGTACTGCTTGTGGTTGTAGTCCTCATAGTTTCTCTCTTGAGGTGACTTGGCTCCATTTTTGAGGCTTTTCTCAGATGTTTCATGTTCCTGTTCTTCCAAATTTCAGAGGTCTCTGCTGCACTTTTGACTTCACTTTCATAGCTTCATACATTGTCCTCTCAGGACAAACTTTTTGGCTTCCCATGCCTTCTTTTAAAATCTGGGTAGAAGCCTCCCTGACCCTGCAATGCTTTCATTTTTCATACTCATTAATCCAGCACTACCTGAATGATGCCTACTTCTCTCTCTAGCTCCAGCAGTAGACAGGTCCTTTTGCATCATCAATGCAGAAGCCATGAGTACTTGGATGGCTAAGCAATGTGAACTCTATTCCTGCAAACCAACTCCCTAGGCAGCTCTGCTTAAGCAGGGTGCCCTGGGGCTTTCTTTTCAACACAAAGTCTTTTACTTTTGCAGGGCAAAAAGCAGGGTCTTGTTATTTCCACACATGCCCTCAAGGCATCCTTCCTATTGTCCTGACTCAAAGTACTTAGCTGCTTTTCAATCTTTTCAGCCACCTACTTCTCCTTCACCAAAATTGTATAGGCCCTAACTTCACCAGAGTAAAGTTTTTGGCCAAACTCAAAACATTTAAAATCATTTAGCTGTTTGATTCACTCTTGATTTTCACTATAAACTTGATTAAAAGGTGCAGTATTTCTAACAAGTCCACCAGAAGTACTCATGCTACAGCCTGAAGACTAAGCTACCTTAAATTTCTTGCACCAGATTAGATTAATCTATTACCTTTAAGCTTGGTCTGCCACAAAAGTCTCAAAATATGAGTAAAATGTAGACAAAGTTTCTGCCACAGCATAACCCACACAGTTTTGAGTTCTACTGCCCATGCAGTGCTTGTTCCCAACTGAAATCTCGCAAGCCTGATCTGTAGCATCTGCATTTTAATCAGCATTCTAGTCTTCTGAATTCCAACCAGAACCTCCTGTCAAGCTTGGCTTACAGCATTCTAGAGCTGCTGCTTCAACTAGAATCTTCAAACTTTTCCAAACTCCTCCTACAAAGGCTTCTAAACCACACAGTCAAGCAGTGTCACACCTGACCCCAATTCTCTGATACCAAAATTTGTCTTGGCTTCTTTTCTTGTAGCTAGCACAAAACACTTGACACACAATTTTAAAAAGGAAAGACGTATTTTGGCTTACATAGTCAGCTGGCTCCAAGGCAGGACAGTGTGGTGAAAAGGCACAAGAGAGCAAAATTTGCTCACCTCATCAGAAGGATAACCGAATGAAGGGATAAGCCAGGAAGAATGATACACTCTTCCAAGTTACATCACCAGTGACCAACCTCTTACAACCAGACTCCACCTCCTGACAGCAAGTCAGTTACACTGAACCCATGATCTAATCACCTTCCATAAATCCCT